TAGTTTATTAAAAAATAACATTTAATACGCCATGAGACAACACTGTACATTAGTGTGTGCAGGGGGAGCATAGATGTTCCCGACAATACTGTGAGTGTAGGGTTGCTGGTCGGCTGTGAGGTCGTGCTGAAGTTGTCTCATGCTGCATTCATCACGCTTTAAGGGTTCACTGGTGTGCGACCCAGAGCAACAACTGAGCCCTGACATACTCTGTCACACATTTTATTTAGTTCCTCTTCTTGCAGGACATTCAGATGCAAATTCGATTTTTCTGCTACAAGCAGGGACAGATTCCATGAGAAAACTCACAAACCCTGAGTTTCTGACTTTTGAAAAAGGTGTTTCAAATCAGACGTTAGTATTTCTGGTATGCCCTCTTGTTATGAATGCAGCATTAGTCCTGAGAGGAGAAAGGAGACCGTAGGGTCAGGATCAGTCTAAGGTGGGCAGTGGAAGTGTGTGATTCCATGACAAACCAATCATCACGTCTGAAAATCAACCATATTCGAGGCAGCTCCCATGTGAATGAACATTGAGGTGGAAACACAGGTGAACGTAAATCTTTTCAGACTGAGACCCCTGAAGAAAAGTTCAGCTAACACTGTATGGCCCTAGTATAGAGTGAATTTCAGCACCGTCTTAGACAGATGCAATAGTGCATGTCATACAAAAAAAAAAAGACACCATTAGAATCCAAAATGAACGATAGATTTAGACTAGTGGTACTTTACAAAATATCACATTAGTTCATGAAATAGTGGAGCAGTCTCACAATAGATCGATCCATATTTCAATGGACCACATGAAGCACTGACAATGTGAGATGGCAGTGTTTAGCTGTGCAATTATGTAACAGCACTCAACAAATTCAAATAATGACTAAGAAAGGAGGTAAGTGCGAGGTCAGACTTCTTGTGTACTTCAGTCAAGTCCACAGTTTCAAGCTGCATTTCAGTGGCTTTTTGTTCACCTGAACTTAGTGCCTTTTTTTAATTGCTACATAAAAAAAACTGCTGGCAGTTTTAGTCTTAACCAGATGACATACAGGTTTCATTTGGCAGGCCATTAGTTCTCTATTAATTGAGAAAATGGGGATCATTTCATGTACTGTCTTCTCCTTTTAGGACCTAAAATAAGTATTACAAGAAAGATGTCATGTCTGCAGATTTGAAACTCAACAGTAGACTGATGAATATGAAATGACAGGTTAGTATTAAGCCATGACCGTGTTAAACATTGTTGGATTTCTTAATGCATCTCAGTTTCAAGGCATATGTGGAAGACTTCATCATGCTAATTATGCCTAAGGAAAGTCTACATAATTCAGAAAAGTCTAGCTAATAACTCAACTCTGTTAAAAGATGTAATACTCCAGTTACAGGTGAAAGAAATAAGTAGATGACATACTAAACTGGCTAATACAACTTTTGTTGAGGGAATATGGTTCGGAGAAGTGTTAGATAAGAAACCTTCTCTATGAGTTGCAGAATCCCTAGTTTTTTAGAAAGTAGGAAGATAAAAGCCTTTTTTTTTTTATTGGCAGCGTTTTTAGCTTTTTGTAGGTAAATATCCCTCATCATCAATAGGAGTCACAAACTGGATCAACACTAACATCATTGCCCTGAGAAGTATGTTCCCTCGCGGCTATGGGTCTGGAGATGCCTTTTGATTTTGTCAGAGCGGCTGAAGCACTTGCCACACACAGGGCAGCTGTATGGCTTCTCCCCAGTGTGGATTCTCATGTGTACCTTCAAGTGAGCCATCTGTGTGAAGCCCTTTCCACAAATCTGGCAGCGGAATGGTTTTTCTCCCGTGTGACTACGCTGGTGCTCCTGCAGTCTGCCCGAGGAGCTGCAGCATTTCCCACATACTCCACAGCGGTACGGTTTTTCTCGAGTGTGCACTTGTACATGCACATGCAGGTGGCCAGCATGACTAAACGCCTCCCCACACACCTTGCAGCTAAACGAAGACATTTGGCCTTGTAGGGGCGATTTTTGATGAGGGCAGTCCACGGCATTGGCTCCTTGATTGCGCATTTGAGAGGCCTGCCCTCTGTTAGCACCAGCTCCATTTCCCTTAGCACCAACCATCTGTCCTCCATTCTCAACCCCAATAATGTCAATGTTGTTCTCATTCGAGCAGTTTGGGTTGACTGGTGCGAGGGGCTGGGCGCCGCTGTTGGAGGAAGTAGAGCCTCTGTGGGCTCCTCCACTCTCCACCTTCACGTGTCTCGAGGACCCCCGAGATGCAGGATCCCTCTCCCTGTTCTCCACACCTTGACTCTGAGGAAGGTTGGATGTGTGCGGGCCTTCCTGGGGATATTCATTCACAACACGTGGGGGAGTAAACATGTTCTCGGGTGTGGCGCAAGAGCCATGACCACGAAGCTGATCATCTCCTTGGACGGGCCGGAGATCTCTTTTATCCTTAATCTGAATTGGGATGCGCTCTTCATGCCCCATGCTGGGACTCCACTCACGACGGGGATGCTCACCATCCTCCTCTTCCAACAGCGCCATGGACGGACGATCTGAGAACACAACACAAGGAAAAGGTTCAGATTAAAATATTCACGTCATTGCTTTTTGGTAAACCACCTCTTCACAACACATATTTTTACATGAAAAATGCTGAGCTGAACTTACTGTCCTGTTAACTAAACAACAAACAAACTAAATATTTTAATTCAGTTTTGCAGACCTGGTCCTTCATGGATGTATGTTTCTATGTTTTCTGTGAGCGCTAAAATAATTCAAGTTTCCAACAATATCCGATAGACAAAGTGCTAAGAGTATTTAAACTTTGAATAGAAATATCTAATTGAAATCTGTAACAGTGGTGACACACAACATGTCTTGGTTGGAACTAAGCTGTCCAATAAACAGTCTAGCCTCCTGGATCAATTATCAATTAAGTTTCAAAAATCAGGGGCTGGTAAGCAATACTTTCTCATTTAATGTGTTTAAGTCTTCTACAAAACAGTCCGTGTAAATACCGGGGAAACCCTTGAGATTGTAAGGGTTGTGTACCATTAATCACAGTGGATGTAATTGAGATATTTAACAATTGTAAAGCAAAAAGATAGATGTCAGGTGAAAGTGTATGTAAACATTTTGTACAAATTGGTCTAAATGTAAGAGTACTTGGCGTATTTACACTCAGAATAAACAATGGCACCTTGGGCAACACTTGCAGTAGTTTCAGCCATAAGTTTACTGTGTGGTTAGAGTTGTACTATATTGGAGTAAACAAAAACAAACACTGTGACACAACAAGTGACACAACAAAAAAATGTTTGCAGTTGTATCTGTCAGATAAATCATGAATAAGAACACTGACTACGTATAAACGCACACTAGTATGCAGTTTAAGCTAAATGCTAAACCATGTATAGGCTAACCTAGCTGGTTGCTAACGAACAAAGGTTGCTACGCGCTAGCCGCTCCACAACAACAGCAGCTAAAGTCAACTAGCTGGCTAAAGTTAACTTGTTTGGAAGTGAGTCAACATCCTTCTGACAGTATTTGGTGTGTTGTGACATTTATTTTTTAGGTGGTCATTTCCCTTTTACTACCAAATGCCACCACAAGACTTGGCAGACTGTAAATAAAGGGGCGCAACTGCACTGTTAGCTTTTTGCGGAGCTAACCTGGCCATATTTCGATCCCAGCGTCTCGCAGCCTGCGTCTCAAATGGTCGTTCTCCCGCTCCCTGATCGCTATCTCCTCCTGGTACTCCAAAATAGTATCCTCGACAGATTTGTATATCTCCTGTGCAGCGAGCATGAGACGCTCAGTCAAAAAGACGTTTAAAAACTGCAGTTTGGTCATTTTCTTGGGTTGCACGGAGCACTCGCTGTTCTCCAAAATGGACCAAAAAAGATGCTCGACCCAATCACGTGACCCGGAGTTATGTCTTCTCCGCTTGCTGCTCCTTCTTCATCGTTCCCCCAAGATTGTCTGTGACCCATCCATGCTGTGACCCCACTGATTGTGCTAGATTTTGGAGTTGCAGAGGCGACGGATTTGGGTTAGTTGCGGCTTTGAATGCTGTAACGTAACACTAATTAGGTCACTGAATATGGTGCTGCTGCCATCACCGTAACAGAAAAAGACAGTACTGTATAGAGTTTATACTAATGCACTATGACCTTAGAACTCTGTTATTTCAAGGCTCATTATTCAATAAGGCACAATATGTCAAAGGGCCATGTAATATCATTACATTTGAACGGATGCACACTTTTGTGGTTCTCATGTCAAGCACACCCCCTGTGAACAAGCTTTGATATTATACATGAAGACCAAACAAAGCATTCTGTATCTTATTTTGAAAATGTTCTATCTGAGTAATAAGAAGTCCCAACTACAAACAACACAGTGTGGGAAGTTGGGAACTACATAATTGTCTATACAGGACAGTTTGTGGACACCATCATCGCAGTATGAGTTCAAGAGAGACTTTTATAAATTGTGTTTGAAAACCAAATTAGAATATTAGCTCACTTCAGGGGCACAGTCATAAAAAAATTAATATTTAATTCAATTTTTATAATGTTTCCCTTTTCTATATTTCTTCGACTTTTGCAGGACTTAATAACAAGGGAAGTATTTCAAATAACTTTTTAATGTGAATTTGTAGATTATTGTTTCATCACCAATTAATTAATTAATTAATTAGGTAAACAGGTGGCATGACCTGGAAGTTTTTTTATTTGTTTAATTCTTTATTTGTGTTCACATAGTATGTATAGCATTCTGCTCAGTTACCAGCCCTATCTTTTTTAGTGACTCAAACATGTCAAACGAACCAACGTACAATAAATATGGAGATTTACAAGCAAAAAACTAAACAAACAGGAAAACAATAAAACATTTCTTAATAACATGTTTATAAATATATAAGAATGATACATCTCTGAAATTATTAAAGTGGTTAAACTCTCCCGCTTGAACACTTGTACTCCAGCTCGCCAGGCGGCGGGACAGGTGCCGTGTCGCTGACAAAAGCGGAAATGACGTAGCGTCAAACTTGCGCACTGCTCCACGTGTGAGAGCAGAAAAAGCACATTGGCAGATCTACAGCTCCACCATGAAGCGACCAAGTAAGTGCGCACTGATAGCTATGCTAAATGTATATGTAAGCTTATTTAAAAACAACTACTTAATTATGTATGATTTGGTTGATTCTCCCCAGCTAATAAACTATATGTTGATTGCAAAAAAAACACAATTTGTCAGTCTGCTTTAGCCTCGTTTTAGGGTAACATTGAATGACCGACGCATAACTATTTTATTTTTATTTTTGTCTTCAGAGTTAAAGAAAGCAAGCAAGCGGGTGTCATGCTCCAAACGCTATAAAATACAGAAAAAGGTAAGTCTGACTTTTTATAATACTTTCCTGTAAAGATAAAGGTTCGCATGTGTTTACACCATGAGGCCTATGTGAACGAGGCTGCTAACGCTAATGACACCCACATGTGTTACTAGTTTAGATTTTGTATTGTTTTTAAAGGAATTGTTTACATTTTGTTGTGTGTTTAGGTCAAGGATCACACCAGAAAACTAAGAAAAGAGTTAAAGAAGAAAGGAGGAGCAAGCAAAAGGCCTAAGAAGGATCTCGGCGTGCCCAACAGCGCTCCCTTCAAAGAGGAGGTCCTCCGCGAGGCCGAGCAGAGGAGGCAAGAGGTGGGCATCATGCGTACTCTATTATATTCATAATGGAGATATGTGCCAATATACAAAATCAATTTATAAATAAATTATATGGAATTTGTAGTAAATGCATACACTACACACTATAAATAAGACTTGAGTTTACATACTGTGTGCATTTATATCAGCTTTAATTATTAAATGGAGATGCTTTAAGGGTGAAAAATATGATTTAAAAATGTTGTATACAATCTTTGTCTAGATTAATATAGTTTTAAGTTGCAATACCACCATTATCTTTTCTGAAGATTCTGTGAATAATGAATCTGAATTTGTTTTTGGACTATACATTTGGATTCACGACTTACAACATATGATTGATTTATAAAATTATACTTGACCAAGTTGACAGATTAACTGTTTTCTCTGAGCTTTATTTCAAAAACGGGTATGGACACTTAATCTGCTAAAACATTAAAAATAATAATGAATATTGGTTAGTTTAGCTCCAGGCTATACAGTTGGGTGAGAATAATGCTCCAATAGATTCTAAAAAGTGAAACTATGTGCTCCAATGCAACCACCAGGTGGCCCGAACAGCATGGATCTTTAGAAGACAGTTTGCTCTTATATCACAGATGATGATATTTTTACTAGCCTAAGCCTAGCCTGTGTTTCAAAACAGTATTGCATGCATAACTTTAATAAATAAACTACCCTACTTAGCAACTTTTTGTTACAACAAGATGGCTGGTACTTGCTTTCGAGGTTTATGGTGTTACTTAACCAGTATTTTGGCAATGGGTACCCCTCAGTTGTTCACATTTGATATAATAGTTTTAAGCCGTTGTATTTATTGTTCATGTTTTCTTTCTTGCAGATTGACGAAATAAAAGACAAAAAAAAACAAGCAAAAAAAGTGGAGCGGGCCCAGAAGAGAAAAAGGGAGAAAGTTACCGGGAAAAAAGAAACGGAACCCAAAGCCAAGAAGCCTCTACAGGTACAAAGGCAAATGCTTAAATATTTATTCAGTAACACATTTTGTCACTCAATCACTTAATTTGATTGTTTTGGGTGTTTTCTTTCCATAGGAAGTGGTTGTCGAACAGCCAGAGAAAGAGCCCGGCCCAGACAAGGGCTCAAAACAGTACCTTTGCTCTGAATTAAATAAGGTAAAACTTCACAATCCAAGTCAGTGTTTTATTGTAGAAAAAAAGGTTTTGACCTGATATTTAACCTGCTCTCCCTTGAATTTCTTTCAGGTAATTGATGCATCTGATGTAGTAATAGAAGTGCTTGATGCACGTGATCCAATGGGGTGCCGGTGTCCACAGCTGGAGGAGGCGGTGCTGCAGAGGGGAGGCAACAAGAAACTGCTGTTGGTTTTAAGCAAAATAGGTAAATGGACATGAGATGCTGCAATATGATTTCAAGTCAAGCACACATACACACTGATGAGGGGTTTGTGGATTTAAATAAGTCTTGTCTGGACTCTAAATGTTGTTTTTTTTAATTGTCTTTTGTTGTAGATCTGGTACCAAAGGAAAATGTGGAGAAGTGGATCCAGTGCTTACAGCTGGAGTTTCCAGTTGTGGCGTTCAAAGCATCACAACAGATCCAGGACAAAACAGTGGTAAGGGGTAACATTTTATGTTTGTGATCAATAACGCGTGTTTAGATCTGCAATTTATAATGCTTATACGAAAAGCAGTTGATCCAAGTAAAAGGTTGTTGTTTTTTGGCATTACTTTTTCTTTTAGAAACATGTCAGCTTTTGGATGCATTACCCATCCTAGTTAAGTTCAAGCCTTTGTGCTATGGGCATCTAAACACATGTTCGCTCAAATCCATCTTTTTTACAGCATATTTAAATTCATGGAAATGTTTAAGGAGTTTAGAAAAGACTGCTACTAATTTTGTGTTTATACATGATTGTAATCTGGAGGACTGAGAAGGTTGAGCAGCCTGCAGTGCTGCTATAACTGGTTATAGCCTCCTAAAGTAACTCACTAACCGCTCAATTCAGTGGCTCTGTCATATAAGCAGAGCTGATGTGTAGTGTGTTTGTGAACAAAACAAAGATATATTTTCCAATAAATGCTGTGATTTACAGACTTTCAGCAATAAAATGAAAAAAACTTGACTATAATTAACATTGTTTTTTGTGTGTCACCATCAGCGAGCCAGGAAGAGCAGGATAGTAGCCTCCAATGAAGTCCTGGACAGATCCCGAGCAGCAGCCTGCTCTGGAAACGGCTGTCTCAGCGAATTCCTGTCAAATTATGCTACTAAAACAGAGAATGAGGCTCAACTCAAAGTGGGCGTAGTAGGTAAGCACAATACAAATCATTTAATTGGCTTATTTCGCTCTGCGGGATAAATATATTTAACTGATTATAGTCTTAATTTCTTTACATTTTCTTGAAGTGTGTAATCTGAATGCTTATCTTTGATGCAATATCCTCTTTGCCTTCAGGTTTTCCTAATGTGGGAAAAAGCAGTCTCATCAACAGTATGAAGGGGATCCTCGCATGCAATGCTGGAGTCAAGAGAGGCATCACAAAGTGAGTGACAAATTAGCATAAAATGCTAACTCCTAACACAACTCAAGCTTTTTCTCTGGGTTTAGTATCATCGCGCCTATTTAGCAGAATTGCAAACATGTTCTGCTTTAGTGAAGGATTATGTCCAAATTGTACAAAGTGATAATTAACTTTCCCCTTTTTTCTTATTTTGTATCCCAATAATGAAATGTTTCCTGTTCCCACCCCATCAGATCCATGCAGGAGGTGCACATCCTGAAGAACGTGAAGCTAATAGACAGCCCTGGCATCATGGCGGCGCCGTCCAACCCGCCAGCCTCCATGGCTCTGAGGAGCCTGCAGGTGGAGGAGGGGGGTGTCAGCGCGCATGAGGCGGTCCGGACTCTGCTCAAACAGTGTGACCACAGCCAGGTAAGAGGAGTTCCATCACGGGAGAGATTTCTTTTTTAATTGTTGCATTTGTCAGATGGTTTTCTGTGTTTTTATTTCCCTTATACATCAGTGTAATCTGGAGGACTGAGAAGGTTGAGCAGCCTGCAGTGCTGCTATAACTGGTTATAGCCTCCTAAAGTAACTCACTAACCACTCAATTCAGTGGCTCTGTCATATACGCAGAGCTGATGTGTAGTGTGTTTGTGAACAAAACAAAGATATATTTTCCAACATATTAATTTCAGCGTTCTTGTGGTTTCAGATCATGCTTCAATATAATGTCCCCGACTTCAGAAACTCCCTGGAGTTTTTGACGTTGTTGGCCAAGAAGCGTGGATATCTTCAGAAGGGGGGGATCCCCAACGCAGAGCAGGCGTCCACGGCTTTCCTCGATGACTGGACAGGGTGAGTGTTTTTATTTTCTTTGCTGAAGGATGCTTGATCAGTGTGGAAATGAGGACACAACGCAAGTCTGAATAATATGAAGACTTCTAATCCAACTCTGATCCCAACACTGTGGAGGATAATGCAACTATTATAATGTAAAGAGAAGGGAATGCTACTGTATGTCAGGCTCACAGAGCTGTCTTTGTTTTGTCTCCTCAGAGCTAAGCTAAGCTATCACTGCAAGGCATCGGAGAACCACGACCTCCCAGCCTACATGTCCGCTGCTGTTGTGGCTGAGATGCAGACCGGCTGGGATCTGAACAGTCTAAAAACAGGCAACGAGGGAACTCTGAAAGGTATTGGGGGTTTTTGAGTCTTCTATCAGCAATTTAAAATCGGCAGACCCCTTTTTATTCAATTATAAGGGGCAGAGCATGGGGATTGAATGTAACACTTGGTCCTCTTCATGTATGATGTAATGAGCCACACGGCAGGGGCCATTAATGGGCTTGTAGACCAGTCTGTGTGCTGTAGCTTCTAATAACATGTAGTCACTTCTGTCTGTTGACTGTCAACATTTTGCTTTTTTCAGATGTAAGATGTCCAAGCCAAGCCGGCAGTATAGGCTTAACTTCTAAGGGCCCGACTGCAGGCCTACTGAGGGTTGAGGACGTCACTGAGGAAAAACCCCTGCTGAGAGTTGTTGAAATCTCTGTAAGAAAACCTGCTGATGCATCCTCAGAGAGAGCAGAGCAGAATGATGAGAATCAGGTAACTATAAAAGTGCTTTATTATTCCTTTTAGAGACTACCAGAATACACAGCTGCCTTTTAAGAATGCTAGCTGTCTGGTCTGCTGGAAATGAGGACAAAAAACGCAAGCCTGAATAATATGAAGACTTCTAATCCAACTCTGATCCTGCTGTCTGGACTTTCTGTGTATTCTGAGGTTTGTTGGACTTTAGATGAACTATCTGCTTTTCTCTCAGCCTGAACAGACTCCAGAGGAGGCAAATGGGACACAAGCAGAGGAGCCTCCTATTAAAAGTAAGTTATGTTTGACACTTCATTTTTATTACCAAATGCTCTCCCAGCATTAGCATTATTTTGATGTCTGGCCTTGTCTTCCAGGAAACCCAGGCCGTGTGCAGTTTGAGTCTGTCCCCGTAGACATGAGCGTCTCTGCGGCTTCAACAGGAGACGCCTATGACTTCAACACAGACTTTAACTGAGCTCTGCCTTCTTTGTGTGGAAGACATGCAGACCTTGATATGTCGGCATTCAAGGACAAGCTGACTGCAAGGCGGACTGTTGGGGTGCCTTTGACCACAAAATGTCAGGCAAAGTTGATTCAGAATGATTTTGAAGTTTACGTGGTTTTGCCCCTTCAATTCTGAATCTGGAAGAAACTGGGACCGTGTCCAGATGAGGACTGACCTTCTTTCAGTTGTTTAGGACAAACGACTGCCCAGCAAATAGACGAAAATATTCCCACACGCGTTCTCCCAGATGTTGTCTTAAATGTCCAGAGGTCATTTGTAATAATATTCATGCTAAATATTGTATATAGACGATGTACTATAAATGTAATAAACCCTTTACAAAGCCTATATCATTCATTACTGCCTCATTCCAAAACCGTGAATTTACAAAATAGCATTTTCATGTTATGTTCTTTTTGTGACTCCTATTTCATTACTCTTTAGGAAGTATTACAAAAAATCATAGACTGATCTTGCAAATTCTGAAACACAACATAATATTTAAACGATGTATTTCCTTTCATCTACAAAGGATGACAGATATTTACACCAGCAAGGCAATTGCCTTTCAATGTTTGTTCAGTGGTCTGCATATAAGGTTATATAAAACCTGTCGGACAATACACTACTGAATTGGTGTTTAAAGAAGTCAAATGTATAGGTGGGAGGATCAGAACATTACAAATCCCACTAAATATTTCAGAATAACTTTAAAATGTTGAATGGAAAGGCTGCTCTAATATCAGGGCGACTGTCCATATCTTGTCATATAAAGTACATTTCTGAATCATTTTGAACTTATGGGGTTTTGATTAGTCTCTGTTTTTGCCTTTTCTTCAATTTCTGAATCTGGAAGACCTTGGGACAGCGTCCAGACGAGGACTCACCTTTTTATCCTAGATGTTTTTCAGCTTTCTAGGACAAATCAGTGCCCACCAAATGGACTTGCATCTCTGTTGGCGGGGCGCACGAGGCGGTCCGGACTCAGCTCAAACAGTGGGACCACAGCCGGGTAAGAGGAGTCCCATCACTGGAGATTTCTTTTTTAATTGTTGCATTTGTTAGATGGATTTCGGTGTTTTCCTTTCCCTTTAAAGCAGTGCTTCTCAAAGTGTGGTCCGCGGACCACTGGTGGTCCGTGAGCGCCCCCTAGTGGTCCGTGAGTATATTGGTAACATTTCACATTTGAAATAAATAAGTTTTCCGCACTCTCCCGGGAATATCTCTGCAATGGAGCCAACTTAAGTTTCACTTTCGATTGCATAATATAGCCCAGCGCAACACCTTCGTCACACATGTTGCCACCTGTTTGTACAATTTCCAGGTGATTTGTAATCTGTTCTAGAAAAACGATGTGTTTTTGGATATTTGTAGAGTTAGGTGGTCCGCGAGTGTTTTTTTATTGGTTAAGTGGTCCTTGGTATGAAAAAGTTTGAGAAACACTGCTTTAAAGGGTAACATTATGTTTGTGATCAATAACGCGTGTTTAGATCTGCAATTTATAATGCTTATACGAAAAGCTGTTGATCCAAGTCCAAAGTTGTTGTTGTTTTTGGCATTACTTTTCTATTAGAAACATGTCAGCTTTTGGATGCATTACCCATCCTAGTTAAGTTCAAGCCTTTGTGCTATGGGCATCTAAACACATGTTCGCTCAAATCCAGCTTTTTTGCAGCATATTTTAAATGAATGGAAATGTTTAAGGAGTTTAGAAAAAACGGCTACTAATTTTGTGTTTATACATGATTGTAATCTGGAGGACTGAGAAGGTTGAGCAGCCGGAGTGCTGCTATAACTGGTTATAGCCTCCTAAAGTAACTCTTACCTCTCAATTCAGTGGCTCTGTCATATACGCAGAGCTGATGTGTAGTGTGTTTGTGAACAAAACAAAGATATATTTTCCAACATATTAATTTCAGCGTTCTTGTGGTTTCAGATCATGCTTCAATATAATGTCCCCGACTTCAGAAACTCCCTGGAGTTTTTGACGTTGTTGGCCAAGAAGCGTGGATATCTTCAGAAGGGGGGGATCCCCAACGCAGAGCAGGCGTCCACGGCTTTCCTCGATGACTGGACAGGGTGAGTGTTTTATTTTCTTTGCTGAAGGATGCTTGATCAGTGTGGAAATGAGGACACAACGCAAGTCTGAATAATATGAAGACTTCTAATCCAACTCTGATCCCAACACTGTGGAGGATAATGCAACTATTATAATGTAAAGAGAAGGGAGTGCTACTGTATGTCAGGCTCACAGAGCTGTCTTTGTTTTGTCTCCTCAGAGCTAAGCTAAGCTATCACTGCAAGGCATCGGAGAACTGCGACCTCCCAGCCTACATGTCAAGCCGGCAGTATAGGCTTAACCTCTAAGGGCCCGACTGCAGGCCTGCTGAGAGTTGAGGACGTCACTGAGGAAAAACCCCTGCTGATGCAGCCTCAGAGAGAGCAGAGCAGAATGATGAGAATCAGGTAACTATAGAAGTGCTTTATTATTCCTTTTAGAGACTACCAGAATACACAGCTGCCTTTTAAGAATGCTAGCTGTCTGGTCTGCTGGAAATGAGGACAAAAAACGCAAGCCTGAATAATATGAAGACTTCTAATCCAACTCTGATCCTGCTGTCTGGACTTTCTGTGTATTCTGAGGTTTGTTGGACTTTAGTTGAACTATCTGCTTTTCTCTCAGCCTGAACAGACTCCAGAGGAGGCAAATGGGACACAAGCAGAGGAGCCTCCTATTAAAAGTAAGTTCTGTTTGAAACTTCATTTTTAATAAAAATGAAAAAAACTTGACGGTTATTAACATTGTTTTTTGTGTGTCACCATCAGCGAGCCAGGAAGAGCAGGATAGTAGCCTCCAATGAAGTCCTGGACAGATCCCGAGCAGCAGCCTGCTCTGGAAACGGCTGTCTCAGCGAATTCCTGTCAAATTATGCTACTAAAACAGAGAATGAGGCTCAACTCAAAGTGGGCGTAGTAGGTAAGCACAATACAAATCATTTAATTGGCTTATTTCGCTCTGCGGGATAAATATATTTAACTGATTATAGTCTTAATTTCTTTACATTTTCTTGAAGTGTGTAATCTGAATGCTTATCTTTGATGCAATATCCTCTTTGCCTTCAGGTTTTCCTAATGTGGGAAAAAGCAGTCTCATCAACAGTATGAAGGGGATCCTCGCATGCAATGCTGGAGTCAAGAGAGGCATCACAAAGTGAGTGACAAATTAGCATAAAATGCTAACTCCTAACACAACTCAAGCTTTTTCTCTGGGTTTAGTATCATCGCGCCTATTTAGCAGAATTGCAAACATGTTCTGCTTTAGTGAAGGATTATGTCCAAATTGTACAAAGTGATAATTAACTTTCCCCTTTTTTCTTATTTTGTATCCCAATAATGAAATGTTTCCTGTTCCCACCCCATCAGATCCATGCAGGAGGTGCACATCCTGAAGAACGTGAAGCTAATAGACAGCCCTGGCATCATGGCGGCGCCGTCCAACCCGCCAGCCTCCATGGCTCTGAGGAGCCTGCAGGTGGAGGAGGGGGGTGTCAGCGCGCATGAGGCGGTCCGGACTCTGCTCAAACAGTGTGACCACAGCCAGGTAAGAGGAGTTCCATCACGGGAGAGATTTCTTTTTTAATTGTTGCATTTGTCAGATGGTTTTCTGTGTTTTTATTTCCCTTATACATCAGTGTAATCTGGAGGACTGAGAAGGTTGAGCAGCCTGCAGTGCTGCTATAACTGGTTATAGCCTCCTAAAGTAACTCACTAACCACTCAATTCAGTGGCTCTGTCATATACGCAGAGCTGATGTGTAGTGTGTTTGTGAACAAAACAAAGATATATTTTCCAACATATTAATTTCAGCGTTCTTGTGGTTTCAGATCATGCTTCAATATAATGTCCCCGACTTCAGAAACTCCCTGGAGTTTTTGACGTTGTTGGCCAAGAAGCGTGGATATCTTCAGAAGGGGGGGATCCCCAACGCAGAGCAGGCGTCCACGGCTTTCCTCGATGACTGGACAGGGTGAGTGTTTTATTTTCTTTGCTGAAGGATGCTTGATCAGTGTGGAAATGAGGACACAACGCAAGTCTGAATAATATGAAGACTTCTAATCCAACTCTGATCCCAACACTGTGGAGGATAATGCAACTATTATAATGTAAAGAGAAGGGAATGCTACTGTATGTCAGGCTCACAGAGCTGTCTTTGTTTTGTCTCCTCAGAGCTAAGCTAAGCTATCACTGCAAGGCATCGGAGAACCGCGACCTCCCAGCCTACATGTCAAGCCGGCAGTATAGGCTTAACCTCTAAGGGCCCGACTGCAGGCCTGCTGAGAGTTGAGGACGTCACTGAGGAAAAACCCCTGCTGATGCAGCCTGAGAGAGAGCAGATGAGAATGATGAGAATCAGGTAACTATAGAAGTGCTTTATTATTCCTTTTAGAGACTACCAGAATACACAGCTGCCTTTTAAGAATGCTAGCTGTCTGGTCTGCTGGAAATGAGGACAAAAAACGCAAGCCTGAATAATATGAAGACTTCTAATCCAACTCTGATCCTGCTGTCTGGACTTTCTGTGTATTCTGAGGTTTGTTGGACTTTAGTTGAACTATCTGCTTTTCTCTCAGCCTGAACAGACTCCAGAGGAGGCAACCGAGGCAAATGGGACACAAGCAGAGGAGCCTCTGATTAAAAGTAAGTTTTGTTTGAAACTTCATTTTTATTACCAAATGCTCTCCCAGCATTAGCATTATTTTGATGTCTGGCCTTGTCTTCCAGGAAACCCAGGCCGTGTGCAGTTTGAGTCTGTCCCCGTCGACATGAGCGTCTCTGCGGCTTCAACAGGAGACGCCTATGACTTCAACACAGACTTTAACTGAGCTCTGCCTTCTTTGTGTGGAAGACATGCAGACCTTGATATGTCGGCATTCAACAGACAAGGCGGACTGTTGGGGTGCCTTTGACCACAAAATGTCAGGCAAAGTTGATTCAGAATGATTTTGAAGTTTACGTTGTTTTGCCCCTTCAATTCTGAATCTGAAAGAAACTGGGACCGTGTCCAGATGAGGACTGACCTTCTTTCAGTTGTTTAGGACAAACGACTGCCCAGCAAATAGACTAAATATTCACACACGTGAGCCCAGTGTGCTCTGATTGGACAGCTCGCTGCAGCAGCCCCATCTGCGAGGCTCCATTAGCAATGTCCAGAGGTCATTTGTAATAATATTCATGCTAAATATTGTATATAGACGATGTACTATAAATGTAATAAACCCTTTACAAAGCCTATATCTACATCACTGCCTCATTCCAAAACCGTGAATTTACAATATAGCAGTTTCATG